AATTACTTCTTTGTTGGGCGCCAACGATTCGGGACAGTCCTTGGTCCAACCTTTAGCTTTAAATGTCATATTAAACTCTAAAGATTTTCTATTTGCTGGCACTGGACCTTCATGAGACATCAGACCGTTTGTGAAATATTTTGGATACTTAAGCAATAATTTGCGAGTGTATGTGAACTGAGCCATAATCATTAGGAAAAACAAATAAAATGGTAATATAAAAGCGGTCCAATAAGATCTAGGAAAAAAGAAATATTAATAAAAATTAGTTTTTTTCGCAATAATTTATAATTCTAAATACTTACTTAAATCCTTTATAAAGTTCAAATTGTATGGGTCTTTTCTTTTCTAACTCATAGGCCAACTGTTGAGATCTTAAAACAGAAGCACGATCAGTATTGGGGAATGGTATGAAATGACTGTCTAAGCCTTCAGTTTTATGGGGTAGAGGTCTAAAATAATAATAAAAATTAACTTTAAATATTTTTACAAAAATTTAAGTTTTAAAAACCTACTTTGCTCTTAATTTTGGTTGCAACTTTGGCATATTGCCGCGATTCAGTTTAAATTTTAATTTCAACATTTCACATATATGCTGCATGGCATAGATAGCACTATCCCAAGTACCGCTATTCAAAATAGCCTTTGATGATTTGTCCTGATAGTTAAGTTCATTTTCCCAAAACAATTCCACAGAATTAACAGTACCCGGGAAGTTCTTTTCAGCGTATACCACACCCATTTCAGCTGGTATACTTTCAAAGGCACAAGCGGATATCACATATACACCTCTTTCTTGGGCCAAGTCATTGTATTTCAATTGCATTTTATTGATATATTGTGGTTCACCACTGATATCGACATGATGGGTACCGGCAGCTATACAGGCCTTCACAACAGTTTCGCCATAGAAACGATAGGGACCACAGCAGTTTAAAACAATCTAAAAAGGGAGTTTAGGTTTTATTATTAATTCCACATTATGTATGTATATAATCCTTATGCTGGGTTAAAATTTAAACTATAATAACGGTATTCTATGAATTCATATATTTTGATTGTTTTCAAAATTAAGAACTTATCTATTTTTGTTTGCAATGACTATAATGTACATATTTTTGAATGATAATGGTGAATGAGACGGAACCATTATCAATATACATATTTTAATTATAGCAATTTTAAGTAATTTTTATGTATTTAATATAAATATTAAATCATTTTTAAATAATATAAATAGCTAACAACTTAATCACAAAAAATCGTACTGATACGGCAAATAATAAACATTTTAACATACCGTGATCTTAGTTATATTTCACTGTTAAGAAACTAAGGTATTCAATCTCTTCACAGATCTTAAATTTGGACAATCGAGTTCCCTCGCTATATTTAAGTTGAATTGTACCTTGCCTCAGATTTGTATACTTTATCCATTTTTTGTTGAATAAAATTGTATACATTTAAGTCATATTTCGAAGGGGGCTTTGTATAGGGCCTAGGGTTAAATGAGGCCCTATCACCAAAAAATTCATCAGGGTCATGAAGGCTAGTATAGAACTTGGTTTTGCAGCTTTTTGTCGAGATACGAGTATATTGAACATAATTATGAACTTAATATTATTTTCAATAATATGGGGGCTAGGTCAAATATCACACCGATATTACCCATTTTCAGTAGCAAAATCATGTATTCATTGAATTATCTTCAAAAAAGCGACCTGTAGTTTGATTACACGATTTACATGGACGGACAGACAGACAAACCGACAGACGGAAATAAATCCACTCAGAAAATGATTCTAAGCTGATTGGTATAATTTAAGGTGGGTATAGGACCAATATTATTGTGGATTACAAACATCAGCATAAACCCAATATACTCTCCCAACTAAAGTGGTGTAGGGTATAAATATCAAACTGAAACCAATTTCTAAGTTTATATAATGAATTAATTGTTTGACTTCTATTCAATTCTAATTCTAATTTCTTAAAAAACGCATTCTTTTGCAATCGAAGATCTTTTAAATTTTATAAAGCAATGTAATAAAGAATAAAAATAGCATTATTTCTTGACTTGCAAATAAATTTACATTTCAGAGTAATTAGGGAATACCGCGTTAAAATTACGCACTAAAATTCATAACTTGTTTTACACAAACCGCATTGTTAACTTTGTACGTTATAAGTAATAAAATAACTTAATTTATCGTCTATATAAAAATATTATTTCCATAATAATTAAATTTAATAAATTACCTTGCAATTTTTAGCCATATTATTAATAGAGGCCTCATCGCTGACATCAGCCACAATGATGGGTATATTTGATAAATCTTTTCCAACTTTCTCTCCCACTTCCTTTAAGACTTGTTTCAATTTATCCTAAAATATTATAACGTTTCAATATAGAGATATAATTTAGCTAAAAATTTCCGTTAAACACTAACCTCATTACGGCCTGCAATGCCCCATTTAAGATCCTTCAATATATTCACTGCATCTTCAACAACAATTTTGCCGGTAAAACCGGTGGCACCAAAAATTATAGCATCTAATCTTTCGGCCATGTTAACCGTTTCACAATATACACTAAACTGAAATTTGAAATTTCTTTGTTCTCTTAAATATTTAAAGAAAAGTCAAAGCTTTTGCTAGACGTCAAAATACATATCTCTTTCTCGTTATCGCAATGCACATGTGGGAAAAGCGAACATTGTATGCAATTTCAAAATACAGTTTAGTGGGTATGATAGATTAGAAAATATTTCTTTATCAAATGATAAACTCTTGTTTATAACATTAATTAGAGTTTTCAGCTGTTTTTTGTTTCTTTCTAGAAAGAAAAACGTGTATATTTGTCATAAGCTATGAATTATTTTTTAGACTAACCATTAGATTTTACCATTCTCTCTGTAACACATCAAAATATAATTTACCAAATTGTCTAGTCTGGCAACAGTGGCTGTTGTTAATTGTTAAAAACAAGTTATTAACAAACCTAAAATTCTTGTTGATTTTATAAACAAAATAAAAAACACCTAATTTGTTATGTGCAAAGTTATAAGAAATGTTGGATGCCCTACATTCATGATACTTCGATTGTTAATAATAAGATATACATATGTATTTGAAATGCTTGTTTCAAAACCGATTGATAAAAATGAAGGGAAAAACTTAGAAATTGTGTTTAGCAGAAGACTAGGTTTTTTTTCCATATATCGAAAATTATAAATTCACAAAGTTATTTCCAACATCGAAATGAACATGCCACCCATTAATATATAGAGTGTTAAGCATTAACTTTTTAATATGACTAATAACAATTATTACGTATGTATGTACATTAGGGTGGGCCCAAAACAGAAGATCTCGATTATTCGAAACAACAATGAAAGATTAATCATTTTTGTTCTGGCGTTAATATTTGATGAGCAAGATTAAAGTGTATAAAGGGACTTTATTGAGGTTTCCTGATTTTAAAATATTTCTTGCCATTCCATATAAAATGTTGGTGCCCTCTGAAAAGCCTTTGACTGGCCTTAAAGCTGTCAAACTACTACTTATTCGTTGGTATTTTAATTCATTATCTTAACACGGAGGTGTCATAGGAAGTAAGTACCTACCACGCTTGCTTACAAAGAACCACCTAAATAAGTCATAACATTAAAGTACTTAAAATAATGCAGACGGTATGTAGTAGTCAATGAAAAGTAAGTTGTTGTAGAAGTCATTATCAAGTTTTTGTTGGATAAATAACGGTTTGTATGTTGTTCTTTACATTATTTTGCTTTTGTTTGAGAAATAAAATCTTATAATCAATTAAACTTCTGTTTAATTTTCCTTAATACAGACGCGACCTCCCTAATGTATGTTTATGAAAGAATTTTAGAAAAAGCTTTTTCTGACCTTTGTCAATTAACGTTTTAAAATACAAGGTGGAGCAAAAACAATCACCCGATATGGCTTATCTTCATAATAGAAATACACAGTTTCATATTTTTTTGACATTTGGATTTTTAAAATGTTGTCAGTATATTCTTAAGATCCGAATAGGTCCTACGATTTGGAATCTTTTAAGCACATTCCTAATGGATAAGTTACAAAGGGTATGTCTTCAGAGGATTAGCTACCAAGTGATTGACGATATAAATTTTGTCATAATGTTTCTTCTAAATAATACTTATAGTTTTCCATAGTCACTATAATACAACAGTAGCGTAATATATTTTGTGACACCATAATTACTTAGTCACAGTTACTTAGTAATTTTGTTAATCAGTTCATATCTACATACAAACATACATAGATTTTTTTTCAAATATTTCAGTTTATCAATATTGACGTTTATTTTATCATGCATGCTAGTCGAAACGTACTTTATAACTCAAACAAAGTTTGAATAACATCAAAACGTAATCAATTTAGAATTTGACAAAAAATTTTATACCCACAATCAAAAAGTAAAGGCATGTTGGTCTTGTTATAATGTATGTTACACATATTTGTATATTTTCTAAGTCCATTTGCCTCGTGGGGGTCATCAAGTCTTGTAAACAACTTGGTTTTTGCAGCTTTTTGTCGAGATATAAGTATATTAAACATAATTATGAACTTAAGAGCCCTATTTGGCGGGTTCAGTTGTATGGGGGCGATGTAAACCATTTTCAACAGGCTTCGTCTACGGTACCATAAAAGATCATGTGCCAAATTTCATTGAATTATCTCCAAAATTGCGACCTGTAGTTTGATTACAAGTTTTAAAAGCCCTATTCGGGGGTTCAGTTGTATGGGGGCTAGGTGAAATAATGGACCGATTTCAATAGGCTTCGTCCCTGGAACAATAGAAGATCATGCTAAATCGACTCAGAAAATGATTCTGAGCCGATTGGTATACTTTAAGGTGGGTATAGGACCAATATTATTGTGCGTTACAAACATCAGCACAAACCCAATATACCCTCCCCACTAAAGTGGTGTAGGGTATAAAAACGCAAGCATTTTTTATTTTGTATATTTATTTTTAAGAGATTCATAATTTTACAACTTCAAATTTCAAACCAGAAATGTTACGCGTTAACTCCTCAATCAGTTGAGTTTTGGCAAATGCAATGCCTGGTGGAATAACGCCGCCACTGAAAAGAAAACGAAAAAAACACAATATTACCAGATAATTTTTAAACGGTTAGAATATAGAAGATAATAGATTACGTTTGAAATTATAGAAGTTAAAATTTCATTTTAAAGTCTTTACTTATATCAATCATTTGAATCGGTGTTAACATCTATCAATCAAACTAAAACTCTATGTTCCTTACCTTTCCGGCATATTTTTGTGCTCTTGCAGTATGACCTTAGCACAAGACAAAAGAGAACCACTAGAAAAACCATAACAAGGATCATTGCCAGTTAATCTAACTATCACCTCTTTGTTGGGCGGTAACGATTCATCACTGCCTTTGGTCCAACCCTTGGCTTTAAATGTCATATTAAATTCTAAAGATTTTCGGTTTGCTGCAACAGGACCTTCTGGAGACATCAGACCGTTAGTGAAATATTTCGGATGCTTAAGCAAGAGATTGCGAGTACAACTGAATTGGGCCATAATCGTTAAGAAGAACAAATAGAAAGGTAATTTAAAGGCGGTCCAACAAGATCTGTAATAAAAGAAAAGTACATTTGTATGTAACAAAAAGCATTTGCAATAACAATTTTCAAAATTACTGGAAACCAACATGAAAAAATACACTTACTTAAATCCTTTATAAATTTCAAATTGTATGGGTCTCTTCTTTTCCATATCATAGGCCAAACGTTGTGATCTCAAAACAGAAGCACGATCAGTATTTGGAAATGGTATGAAATAACTGTCTAAGCCTTCACTCTTGTGGGGAAAAAGTCTAAATTGAAATACATTTATAATTACAAATTGTTTAAAATCAGATTAAATAAAATGGACATACTTTAATCTTAATTTGGGTCGCAATGTTGGCATATTGCCACGATTCAATTTATATTGTAATCTCATCATTTCAAATATATACTGCAAAGCAAAGACAACGCTATCCCAAGTGCCGCTATTCAATATGGCTTTAGATGTTTTATCCTGATAGTTAAGTTCATTTTCCCAAAACAATTCCACAGAATTTACGGTACCTTAAGAGATGAAAGTTCATGTAATAAAATCAAATTAATTAATTTCATCTTTGAAAATTTTACCCGGAAAGTTTTTCTCAGCAAATACCACACCTATTTCGGCTGGTATACTTTCATATGCACATGAGGATACTACGTAAACACCTTTTTCTTGGGCTAAGTCATTGTAGTCCAATTGCATTTTATCGATATATTGCGGTTCACCACTGATATCGACATGATGCGTGCCGGCCGCTATACAAGCCTTTACAACAGTTTCACCATAGAACCGATAGGGACCACAGCAATTTAAAACGATCTAAAAAATATAATACAAGGGGAATTATTTATTTCAATAATTGGATCAAAATGGGCCGAATTTAGGCTTAAATTATAAAATATTTGTTTTGACACTAGTCCAATAATAAGAACTTTTGTTTCGTTCTTGTTTTCGAGAGTCATAAATCGAGGGGTGTTACACTTCATTTTAACGGTATTTTCAGAATAATTATATGTATATTAAAAGCGTGTGAATATTTTTCTTCTTATCTGTTGTAAAAAATCTTCTAAATGTGGTTTCGGCGAAGAAATCTCCCTTGCTCTTTTGTTTTACATGTCACACATGTATAAAAAACACTCAGAAAAGTCATTTATCACTTCCTCCCGATATATGGATTTGCATATATTGCATCCTGATATCAAAATGTCTAATAACCGGCATTCAAATTTAATGTATGTATTTGCGAACCAATTAATTTTTTCATTTTCGCGCGAAAAAAATCTTGTAATAGATTCTATAACGAACGATTTTTTCCCTACCTTGACAATAGCTGAACTTTAGAATTAATATTTCTATATAATTATGATTGCGTAATGTTAGATTATTATTAACTTAATTTTAATTGATTAACTTGATCTTATTCGCCTTTGTTTGGAAAATACAATTAAAAGTTAATTACTTAAGTTAGGTTAAATTAAATTACAATAATATAACAATCTAGTTATATTATATTATAAAAATATGTATACATAGCTTTAATGAAATACAATTCTCAAACAAAATAATTGGCCAATTTAGAAATATGTAGCTACATTGCATGACTTGCGATTAATATTACATACCAACGTACAGTATTTAGAACCATTTGGGGAGTGAGGTATTTATTTCATCTCCCCATAAAATTGCGCACTAAAATGATGACTAGTTTTTCAAATAGTATAAAGACACATTTTAAAATTATTAATTTAATAATATTTTATAAATTGAATAAATTACCTTGCACTTCTTAGCCATGTTTTCTACAGATGCTTCATCGCTGACATCTGCCACAATGATGGGTATATTCGATAAATCTTTTCCCGCTTTTTCTCCCACTTCCTTCAAAACTTGTTTCAATTTACCCTAAAATAAATATTATTGTATTTCTACAGTGAAAATTTTCAAAGTTAAAGTTTTTTAAAGTCTTGCCTCATTTCGACCAGCTATTCCCCATTTCAAATCTTTGAATATATTTACTGCATCTTCCATAACAATTTTGCCCGTAAATCCGGTGGCACCAAAAATGATGGCATCTAATCTTTCGTCCATTTTACTCATTCGACAATACACAATAAACTGATATATAAAATTCGTTTGTGCTTTGTGTTAATATTTAGTCAAAAGTCTAAGCTTTCTCTCTGCCGCACTGCATTTGTTGGAATAGAGAACATTGTATGCAACTTTAAGTTAGTTAATTACTCTAGTCAGAGTTGCCAGATATTTTATGTAAAAAAGTCGTTAACTTATTTCAGTTATGCAGCGAAATTTTTTTAATAGTTACTAAATAGAAGCAATAAATTTGATTTGATTTTGTCATTCCATTAGTATTGCCTCCTCCCTAATAATAATAATTTCAAGTTGATGTTTTTAATTTAATTAAAAGTTCAGATAAAAAACAGATGTTTAACCCTTTTTAAGATAGATTACATAACTGAACCCAAACGTTAGGCAGTCAAATAAACTCTTCAACATTTCGTTAACTTGTTTAATCTGGCAGCTATGGTTGTGGTCAGTTGTCATAAACAGGTTTTTTCAAAATTAAATGTTATGCGCAATGTTAAATACCCTACTTTCAATATTCAATCGTTATTTTACTTTAAAAATTTAATTTTTTTTAATAAAAAACCTATGCTTAGAATTTCGAAAAAAATGGTTTTCTTAGAATGTACTGAACTTTTGTTACAAAGATTTGCTATATGATTTTAATTTTGAATGTGGAAATATACTATATGCTATATCGATTAGTATAGACGAACGAATACCAAACATTTCACAAACATGTACTCGAACTTTCAAAATTAAACAACAACAACATTCGGTTCCATGGTAACTTACTCCTATACACTGTTGTTAAATTTTATTTTTATTTGAAGCGTTCTCTTTCTAGCCACCTCTGGTTTGGATTACGACTATAAACATATTTATTGTAACTGAAATAAAAAAAAAAAATTAAGATGTATTTACATTAGGATTGCACCAAAATGGAAAAATCGAATTTTGGATTATGCCAGTCTTGTAGTAAATGAGCGTTATTTATATAAAATATATATGTATATACGCTTTTTATCGATATATGTTTTTAGATTCGATTTATGATTTCATTGGATTACTGAAGAAATATTTTACTTACACAATTTTAAATGGGACAATCCTAATGTAAATATGTATATGAAGTAATTTTTAAAAATGCTCTTTTTGACCTTTGTCCACTGACAGTGTTGCCAACACAGCGTCAATCTTATTTAAATAAATAATGTATTCCAATCGAAAAAATAAATATTTGATACTATATTTGGATTTATTTAGCAGATAGAAAAATCTTTAATTACAATTGTTAAGAAATTTTGTGATTTTGTTTTTCGAAATCAATAACGGATTTTTCTTTTTCGATATAAATATGTAAGTGAAAACTGGTGATATATGTATATTATGACTGTTTTGGTAACACTGGTCAATTCAAGGAACTGACTGTGCAAAAACATTGTAAGTACAATGTTGTAAATAGTATTTACTAAATACTTGTTTTATATTTTGACCTATACATTAAATTATAATTTTTTACGTACTTTTTTGCATTATATGTGGAATGGATAAAGCCGATAAGATATTTTCAAAAACTGAATAAAAGTTATTGTTCTACAAAGTACATATTTCCCAATGGACCATTTGTGTCTGTTAATTGTACAAAAAAATAAGCAAGTACGAAATGAAAAAACATTGCCACAACCCAAACATGTTGGTAATTTCGTCTTGACATTAGGTATCTAACACAGAATATTGGTCGTAGATTCCAAAATTATACATTTTTTTTTACGAAAAAACCAATTAGAAATATTAACTATAGAAATAAAATCTATTAAATAGAAAACAAAATATAAGAAAGAGTAGTCCATCACTCAGCAAACGTAATCTTAATGACAGTTTATATGTAGCACGCATGGGACTAAATATACATACATATGTACATATGTATGTATAGCACAGACTTAAGCCCCCTTCACACGATCACACAAGTATGATCTGTCAAAATTTAGTGTAGAAGAGAACGGATGGGATCGTCTAAACGCAATATGTAATGAAACCATCACACATTGAGAGAAAATACGAATGGAAAATTTGACAGTCGTATGGATCTCTTCATTTTTTGAAATGATTCAAGAAACAAGCAAGTCGCATTAGATCAGGGATGTATTTTTATGTAAACACATACAAAAAAAAGGGCAACAGCTCTTTCCATCTTACTTTGTTATTGTTTTATACCAATCGTGTAAACACGAAAAATATAATTCATACGACTTTTATTCTCTTTTTTGTCATACGGATGGAATTTCGTTTTACTTTTTCATTAGACTTATCTTACGTAAAGTGTGATCGTCTGAAGGGCCCTTTATCAATCAAAATTTTCAGGTATACTATATGTAAAAGAAGGATACCACTAAAAATTTAGAAAAACGTATAGGTAATAATCGTTTTTGCAATTTGAACCAATAGAACAAAAATTATACATAAGTGTGTAACACTTTTTCTAACGTAGGTATAATTAAAACATTGTTTTACAATAATAGTTATTTGAAAATTAATCATATACATACATATAATGGAGATGTATACGTTAATTATAATTTTAATATATTGCAAATTTTTTAGTGTAATGTATTTTTGAAATTTTATAAAGCTATACGAATTATTTTTAATTACTTCATACTATGACTTAGATATGTACATTAGGTTGGTTTTATCTCTTTTGGTAAAAAAAATTCTGATTTTTTTTGGGGGCATCCCCCTAAAATGTTTTTTTCTGTCAGATTTTAGGATTGCCAAAGTTTGAGCACAATTGGAAGATGTCACTGGGCCGTCAAAGTTTTGAAATTCTTGATTTTTTGGCAGTTTGGCAACTTCGGTTTCCCGTCTCTCTGGGACTGCTAAAGCTATTTTCCCGTGTCATACATCAAATTAAAGGCCATACTCTTTATAATAGTTTATATAGAATATAAATAAATCCGCAACTAGTACTGAAACTTAAAAAAAGAGCTAATGTCCCTAAAAACGTGACTAGGTAAACCTGGGAGAGAAAATGCGTTATTTATATTATTATTGCTTATTATGGAATACTTTTACTTTGGAATTTTATTTCATTTAAATATGTTTGTATATCATACCGTTAATTTTAGACCCACAACAATGTTTTTTATGCCTATTTTTTCCTCTGAAGAACAACTCCTGGGCGTTCCTGAAACTGACAGTAGATCAGGGGAGGAACAAGCCCTAGCAGTGTACGAATGTCTATAGGAATGGGGTCTCGCCAGCTCGGTCGTAGCTATGTGCTTCGATACAACAGCATCATATACTGGTAGACTCAGTGGAGCGTGCAATCTCCTGGAGAAGATGTTAGGTCGAGAGCTTGCCGACACCATGTTTTAGAAGCCTTGTTGAGGGTTTTGACTGCAAGTTTGGAAGCACATAGGGACCTCAACCAGACATATTGAAGAGGTTTCATTGTCGGCAATTAATAAATCAAGTTCAATATAGACGAAAATATCAAAGAAAAAGTAGAGAATATCAAAGAATAATTGCAAAGAAAACTAATGAAATGCCAGTCAAGAGACGACTACAAAGAGCTGTTACAATTGGCATGTGCTCTTCAGATCTCCAGGTCCAGTACATCATGCCCGGTGGATGGCAAAACCTATTTACTGTCTGAAAATGCAACTCTTCGGTGACCAGTTTAAGCTGACTTCCCAAGAACAAGAGGCTCTAGAAGCACTTTGTGTTTTCATCGTCCACGCCCCCAGAACTTGTTTAGCGGCAAAATAACACCTAGATCTCATTGAAAATCTATAGAAATACGAAAGTATTGACAAAAATATCAGAAAATGGAATAAACAAAATGATAAATCATCTGTAGTATCATAGTCCTAAACTTGTTGCCCTGGCATTGTTTGACCCAACAGTGCAAAATACCGTAAAGAGCCAAATGGCGACAAAAATCCAGAAATATGCGACTAAAAAAAAACTGCCGAAGTCCCTAGAAAAGTTTCCTAATTACAGGTGAGATTTACATGTTGTTCAATAGAACAACAACACATTATGGCAGTCAGTTGGATAAATTTAAATAAGAATAAAATGAAAAAGACATTTATTATACTCGATTTTTTAAATACCTAATTGTTATCATTCCAAAAATTGATAATATAGAAAGGAAAATGTTTTTTTTTTTTTACAATATGTTCCACCTTCGTTCTAAGGGGTATATAGTCACGGTTTTAGGGACATTGATTTCATTATCTAGAATTTAGTATTACTTACGTATTTTTTATTGCATATAAAATATTATAAATAATAGCGGCTTCAATTTGATGTATTACTTGGGCAAATATGTCAAACTCGCCAAACTGCCAAAAAATCCATATTTTCAAAACTTTGAGGCCCCAGTGGCACGTGTTAACTTCTTTTAATCGTACTCAAACTTTGGCAATCATTAAATCTAACATTTTAGGGGGTGCCACCTAGAGAAATCCGACATCGATTTTTTAAAACCACCCTAATGTACATAGTATACATATGTATATCGCTCATTTACTAGAAGACTGGCATAACTCAAAAGTTGGTTTTTTGAACCGTGTATTATAAAATATGAAAATACAAATTTTCAGCTCTATCGGTCAAGAATTGCGGGATTTAGAGGGGGTATAAGTTGGACACTTTGGTCATATAGGATTTTATTCAAATGAGTGTAACTATTTTCCTATTAGTCCTAGCAAAAATTATCCAAAGGAGTTCAGATAGCTATTTCTTCACTGTTTCCATTTTTTTTTTAATTTTTTGACCGATAGATCTGAAAATTTGTGTCTGGCTAACTAACATCGATTTTAAAAGTTGGGTTACCAAAAACCAAACGAAATTGAATTAATTGTTTTTAAATTATTTTCGGTGTTAACGTGAATTTTTGCTAGATTTTTTTGTTTAAATTTTTGGTAGATCTACATTGTATTTGTTTCAGAAAAGTAATAAAAAATATAAACAGAAAATATTAAAAAAAGTTATGATTGTTTCCGCCCGGGTTCGAACCGGGGACCTTGTGCGTGTGAAGCACACGTGATAACCACTACACTA